AGGGAAGAAAGCTTTCACATTCACCTTAATGTTTTGATGTTTGAATTTTTTACAGACATATACTACTGCAGTAAAAAAGAAAAAAAATCTAGGTATTTGAGACTTAAAATAGAGGTTGAAAACCAGAGGTCCTCAGACTAGACACAGCTGACAGACATGTTTTGCTTGGCCCACACGGATTTTTTTAAATATTGAAATATCCTTGCTTTTGTTTCGCTAGCTTTTGGAGATGTATCTTGAAAGAAGTTGCTGTCATAGAGGTTACTGCCTATGTTCTCCTCTAGGATTTGGATGGATTCCTGTCTCACATTGAGGTCTTTCATCCATTTTGAGTTTATCTTTGTGTATGCTGTTAGAAATGGTCGAATTTCATTCTTCTGCATGTGGCTGTCCAATTCTCCCAGCACCATTTATTGAAGAGACTGCCTTTTCGCAATTGCATATTTCTTCCTGCTTTGTTGAAGATTATTTGACCATAGAGTTGAGGGTCCATATCTGGGTTCTCTATTCTGTTCCATTGGTCTGTATGTTTTTGTGCCAGTACCATGCTGTCTTGGTGATCACAGCTTTGTAATATAGCTTGAAATCGGGCAACGTGATGCCCCCAGCTTTGTTTTTCTTTTTCAACATTTCCTCGGTGATTCGGGGTCTTTTCTGATTCCATACAAATTTTAGGATTTTTTGTTCCAGCGCTTTGAAAAATGTCATTGGAATTTTGATCGGGATGGCATTGAAGGTATAGATTGCTCTGGGTAGCATAGACATTTTAACAATGTTTATTCTTCCAATCCATGAGCATGGAATATTTTTCCATCTTTTTGTGTCTTCTTCAATGTCTTTCATGAGTGTTCTGTAGTTCCTAGAGTATAAATCCTTTACCTCTTTGGTTAGGTTTATTCCGAGGTATCTTATGGTTTTTGGTGCTATTGTAAATGGAATCGTTTCTCTAATTTCTCTTTCTACAGTTGCGTTGTTAGTGTATAAGAAAGCAACTGATTTCTGTGCATTGATTTTGTATCCTGCCACATTACTGAATTGCTGTATGAGTTCTAGTAATTTTGGGGGTGGAGTCTTTTGGGTTTTCCACATAAAGTATCATGTCATCTGCGAAAAGAGAGAGTTTAATTTCTTCTTTGCCAATTTGAATACCTTTTATTTATTTTTGTTGTCTGATTGCTGTTGCTAGGACTTCTAGTACTATGTTGAACAATAGTGGCGAGAGTGGGCATCCTTGACGTGTTCCTGATCTTAAGGGAAAGGTTCTCAGCTTTTCGCCATTGAGGATGATATTCGCTGTGGGTTTTTCATAGATGGATTTTATGAACTTGAGGAATGTTCCCTCTATCCCTATACTCTGAAGAGTCTGAAGAGTTTTAATCAGGAAAGGATGCTATATTTTGTCAAATGCTTTTTCTGCATTAATTGAGAGGACCATATGGTTCTTCTCTCTCCTCTTATTAATGTGTTCTATCACATTGATTGATTTGCGAATGTTGAACCACCCTTGCATCCCGGGGATAAATCCCACTTGGTCGTGGTGAATGATCCTTTTAATGTATTGTTGGATCCTATTAGCTAGGATTTTGTTGAGGATTTTGGAATGAACTTATGGGACTTCATCAAGATAAAAAGCTTCTGCACAGCAAAGGAAAGAGTCAATAAAACAAAGAGGCAAACCACAGAATGGGAGAAGATACTTGTAAATGACACTACAGATAAAGGGCTGGTATCCAAGATCTATAAAGAAACTTCTCAAACTCAACACCCAAAAAACAAATAATCAAGTCAAAAAATGAGCAGAAGAAATGAAAAGACACTTCTCTGAAGAAGACATACAAATGGCTAACAGACACATGAAAAAATGTTCATCATCATTAACCATCAGGGAAATCCAAATCAAAACCACACTGAGATACCACCTTACATCAGTTAGAATGGCAAAAATGGACAGGGAAAGAAACAACAAATGTTGGAGAGGTTGTGGAGAAAGGGGAACCCTCTTACACTGTTGGTGGGAATGCAAGTTGGTACAGCCACTTTGGAAAACAGTGTGGAGGTTCCTCAAAAAATTAAAAATAGAGCTACCCTATGACCCGCAATTTCACTCCTGGGTATTTACCCCAAAGACATAGATGTAGTGAAAAGAAGGGCCATATGCACCCCAATGTTCATAGCAGCAACGTCCGCAATAGCCAAACTGTGGAAAGAGCCGAGATGCCCTTCGACAGACGAATGGATAAAGAAGATGTGGTCCATATATACATTGGAATACTACTCAGCCATCAGAAAGAATGAATACCCAACTTTTACAGCAACATAGATGGGACTGGAGGAGATTATGCTAAGTGAAATAAGTCAAGCAGAGAAAGTCAATTATCATATGGTTTCACTTATTTGAGGAACATAAGGAATAGCATGGAGGACATTAGGAGAAGGAAGGGAAAAATGAAGGGGGGGAAATCGGAGGGAGAGATGAACCATGAGAGACTATGGACTCTGAGAAACAAACAGGGTTTTAGAGGGGAGGGCAGTGGGGGATGGGTTAGCCCGGTGATGGATATTAAGGAGGGCACGTACTGCATGGAGCACTGGGTGTTATACAAAAACAACAGATCATGGATCACCACATCAAAAACTAATGATGTATTGTATGGTGACTAATATAACATAATAAAATAAAATAAATAAAATAAAATAAAATTTTTTTTAAAAATGAAATATTCATTTATGTTAAAGAATTAGGGGATTTCACATAGAAATGCAAAGTTTCAACTTCTCTTGGGAAAATTGGGAGAGTTGGAAATGTTGGACCTGTATGTTCACATGGCAACAGTTGGCAACAGCAAAGTCGACCTGATCCCCTCAGTGGAATAAGTGTGCTCTTACTGTTTTGCCATGGTCCCCACCCCACTCTATTGCCTTACACCCTGCCCATGTTACTCATTCATTTTATCTCCTTCTCTAGGCAGTTGAGTTTGCCACTCCCGCTAGAGTGACCAGATAAAAACCGGAACTTCCAGTTAAATTTGAACTTCAAATAAGCAACAAGTAATTTTTTAGTATAAGCATGGCCCAAGTATTGCTGAGCACCCTGTATTTTTATTTGCTAAATCTATCAACTCTAACCCCAGGTTTCCAGCTCTCGATAGCCTGGCCTCCCCTCATTCCAACTTTATCTCTCATTGATTTCCTTTATGCTTTGGCCACCAGTTTCCTGAACATGTTATTTGCATTCTTCCTCTGTCTTAGAGATCCCACCCCCCTGTTCCTCTCCAGTCACCTAAGATTAAATCAGTACCTTTTAAGACCAAGTTGAAGTTCCAGCTCCTACAGAAATTTTCTCTGCCTTGGGAACCACTTCTTCCTCCTTATTCCCATAGCACTATTGATAGAACTCACTTACTTGTAAAATAGTACTCACTTACTTTGATAGAACTCACTTACTTGTAAAGTGCTAAGTATTTTTGTATTTTTATTTGCTCATTTTGAACTTCAGTGTTACTTAGCACTTTACAAGTAAGACATCTCCCCCACTAGATTATAACCTTTAAATTTTAATTATTATTGTGCCCCAACAAACACTTTGAATGTAGGACACAGTTGGTTGTAGGAGTATCTAAGATGTGACATGTAAAGACGCTGTATCACTTAGCTTTTCACAACAAACTACCCCAAAACTTAGTGACTTAAAATAACAAATATTTTTTATAGTTCATGATTCTGTGGGTTGGTTGGGTGGTTCTTCTGGTCTGGTTGGTTTGGTTGGGGCTAGATGGTCTGGGATGGCCTCATTTGTATATCTGGGGGCCTCAAGTGGAATGCTGGACCAAGGGGTGGCCAGAGCCTCTTTCCATATAGTGCCTCTCATCCTCAGTGAAGCAGGACCAGGCTTGCTCACCTGGTGATACAGAGTTCCCATCAGCAAGAGCCTCTTCCTTGTCAAATTTGCTAGTGTCCCATTTGTCAGATAAGGTCATACAGCCAAGCCCAGATTCAGCAGATAGAGAAACAGACTCTGCTGCTTGTGGGAAAAGGATAGAATCACATTGCAGAGGCATGTATGCAGGGAGACAAGAACAAATGGGAGGCTATTACCGCAATAATCTACTTCATGTGGTAATGAGAACCCAGTTCCAGTGTGTGAAAAATTCATTTCAACTCAAGAAGTATGCTTCTGTTCAATCTTGGTCTCTGCATGTCAGTAAAACTGGACTTCTAGAATGCCAAACTCCTTCCCCCAGGAGCCTCTTCTGTGCTGTCTCCTCTGCTTGGAATGCTCCTCCCCACCTCCTTGCCAGGCTAATTACTACATTTCCTTCAAGTCCTTTCCTAAAGTCACTTCCTTATGGGGAGCCTCCCTGACTCTTCAGAGCAGTCCAGGTCTCTTGTTCTGCATACTCAGAGCACCGTGGGTTCTGCCTTCACCGCAGTTGCCGCCACTGTTAGGAATTACTTTGTTGTGTGCTTATTTAATGTCATTTCTCCCTCTCAGCAGAAAGCGCTCCTGGGCAGAGACCAGGTCTATCTTGTTCGATGTCAAATCCCCAGCATCTAGCACCATGCCTAGCACAGAGTAGCTGCTCAGTAGTGGAAGAATGAGTGAATGAACATACACACAAATGGCCTCCAATTGGCTCAGTGTGGAACAGAGCTGTTCAGAGCACGCTGAACTCTGTCGGGGTGGAAGGCAGGGGAAACTGCAATCAGCTGGGGAGAGAAGAATAGCTTGCGCAAAATTATCCAAGAACAACTCAGGACCAAATAGAGGGTTAAATGCCAGGTGCTGGACTGTAATTGCCGTGGGAGATGAGGACAAAGAGATCAGGCCAGGCCAGCTGGTTACAGAAGGCTTCACAGAGGAGGCCGCATGGGAACGAGGCCCGGGGAAGGAACAGGATTTGGATGTGATGAAATGAGGGAAGGAGGCTAATAAGTCAAGGTCACGAGTTTGAGCCTCTGTAGCTCCTGTTCTACTGGTATCCTCATAAACTCTTACTCACAAGAGGGAACAAGCAGGAGGAGTGAGGATGGTTGGGCGGAGCCATTCCCACTATCACTGAACCAGCTCTAGAAGATGATGTTTCAGAGGACATCGCCAAGTTGAGCGTCATCTACACACATAAAAACAAAACACAAAAAACAGCTCATTTAGAGCTCAGACTCCCCTGAGCCAATACAAGAGAACAACAGTAAACATCTGCTTCTGCTCTTCTGGTGACATTGTGGTCTAGATGCTCTCTCTCCCTCTCTTTCATGTTTAACTATTTATTATAACAACTTCCAAACATAACATAGTTCTTTCATCTCCCTCCCTCTCCAACCCTTCTTTCCCCTAAAGCATTTTAAAGCAAATCCCAGATACCATGTCATAACCCTCCTAAATAATTCAGTATGCATCTCGAAAAGAAATTAGGGCATTTTCTTACATAACCACAACGCCTGTTACACACCCTGCAAAATAAAGCATGATTCCTCAATATCATTTAATACCCAGTCCATATTCAATGTTTCTTGATCATCAAAGACTTACCTTTTTACAGTTGGTTTAGTTGAATCAGGATCTAAACAAAGCCCACACATTAATTTGGTCAACATTTCTCTTAAATCTCTTTTAATCTAGACTACTGTTAAATTAATTAAACCAGGAGACCATTAGACTTATGTGGCTCTGATGTCCTGGCAGCCTACGGAAGCAAACCCAAAATCTAAGCCTGTAAATGCCTCAAGGTTATGAAATCAAAACGCTAAGGACAACCAATCACAAGCAGCTTACTCGGCTTTAAGCTACGGCCAGTCAAATAATTTTTTCTTTGTTTTTGTACTTTTCTACATATAAATCTTTCCTCCTGTTGGTGGAGCACTTCTAACCACTTCTGGTTTGGTGCTGCCTAATCCAAATTGATCTTTGTTTAAAGAAACTCCTAAACAGTTTAACAGGCCTCAGTTTATCTTGTAACACTATGGACATTCCCTTTTAATCAGGAGTCTCTTTGCTGACAACCCACCTCCGCCTCACTGCCTTTATCTTGCTCCTGGTTGGGCAGGGAGCTGAAAGATTAAGATCTCAGTTTGAGGAGAGGGTGGGAGGAATGGCGTGAGTATCAGCATCAAAGATCTTATGAAAAAAAAGATTCGAATTGGCTTCGGGGAAGCAGATTAAGATAAGAGACTCTTAAAAAACTGGATTTGTCCTGCATGCTCTCTTAACACCTAAGCATGAGAGGAATTTACGGAAATATTTTTTTGAGATTTTATTTATTTATTTATTTATTTATTTAGAGAGTGAGAGAGAGAGAGAGAGAGAGCAGGGGGAGGGGCAGCGGGAGAGAGAGAGAGAGAGAATATCAAGCATGTTCCACGCTCAGCACAGAGCCCAACACAGGGCTTGATCTCAGGACCCTGAAATCATGACACTCAACCGACTGAGTCACCCAGGCACCCCAAATTTATGGAGATATAAGAGACTGATTCCCGCAAGCAAGAAAGGGAGAGTGAGTGAAAGGAAATCACAGAAACACAGGCAGGATGGACAACATAGAAACACAGGCAGGACCCGCTACATCATTTGCAGGGCTCTGTGCAAAGTAACGATCCCAGGACCCTTGTTCAAAAATTATTAGGAATTCCAAGATGGTGACAGAAGAGCGTAAACCAAGCAGGTCCTTCTGAGCACAGAGAGCTGTGTGACTGCACAGCCACCAGCCCAATGAAGCTGGCCCCGACACAGTCCAGGCCCAGGGAGGAGTTCTACAAGGCAATGCTTTACCAAGCTGTGTTTCATTTGCATTTCAGAGACCTGCAAAGGCAGTGGGAATCATTTCCATATCTGGTAGCCACGGCCAGCAGCTCAGACTTACCAGGATGCTTATGAGTAGTGAATGGCTTTAGGAAGGTCACAGAGATCGGTGCTACATAGCTCTCAAATCATGGATAGTGATAGGTCTGGATCCCCTAAAGGCTAGTCAACATGAGCACAGGCTTTAGAGTCAGAATGCCTGGTTTCATAACCAGACTCCATCATTTATTGGTTATTGTGAAACCTTGGTCAAGTCACTTGACTTCTCTGGGCTTCTGCGTCCGCATCCATAAAATGGGGCTAATAAAAGTACCTACCTCATAGAGTTGTTTGAGAATTAAGTTAGTTGACTTTGCTGGACTGTGGCGAGCATTATACGTGTTTGTTAAAAGAAATTCGGAAGCTAGAGTTGGAAGGGTCCAGACAGAGCTCTGGTAACAGTGCTCCCTGCAGGACAAAGACTGACTCTGCTCTTCTGATAGAAGGCTGTGCCCGGCATCCTCATTGTTCTCCCCAACAACTTACACAAGGGTCATCAATTCATTGAGTATTTATTCAGCATCTGCTATGTGTCAGGCACTTACTGAGTGGAGAGCGAACCACACATGGTCCTTGTCCTTCTGGTACTGGTCACCTAGAAAAGGGAGGGTTCCACCTGCCGAGTCAAGTCCTGCCAGGGTCTGGTGCCAGGCCTGGCTCTAGGCTCTCCACTTACAGCCCACCACCAAGGCAGTTCTGTGGCTGGTGAGCAAGATTTAACTTCAGTATCTTGACTCCTTGTTATCAATCTGCTTTATAATATTCTGTTTTAACCAAGCCCCTGCTTGATAGTTCAGAATTCCTTTTATGAGATCCAATAGTTTATTTCCTGCCCCAGGACCTAGACCCCCAGCTTGAGGTCCCATACCTGTTGAAACCCCAAGATGCTGTTGGCCTCCTCGCTGACTGCCTAGGAAATGCTCCTGGTTTCTTGGACTGGGATGAGCCCACCTTTGGTCAACCTTCCTAGGCTGGCCCGGACCCACGTGTGTCCATCTATCCAGCAAGTGGTCCCAGACCTTGCCCTCTTATTCTCAACTCCTCACCACTGCTTGACTCTGAACAGCTGTGTGGATTTGGATTCCTATCTCAAACACTCCGTTCCAAGCATGTGAAGAATATGGGCAAGAGAGGCTGTGGGAGGGGGCCTTTACCAATGTCAATCTGACATGGAAACCAGACTCCTTCCCATCAACTAACAAATACTTGGCCCTCTACCAAAGCCTTTGAGGGGTAGTTTGTGTCAGGATGGCTACGGAGGATAAGACGGGGTCATAGAGGGGGAGGGAGAGCGATGGTAGAGACACCAGCTGCTTTCCCATTGGCTCGCTCCAACCCTGAGGCCACTTGGATGCTGTTCCAGCCGGCAGCTCAGGAACACTGTCTCGCACACCACCATCCTGGCCAAAGGCCTCCAGGCAACTGGACTCTTCAGGTAGCTGGTGATACAAAGAAGTGGCAGGTGGAAGCTACGTGAGAGTTTTTCTACATATCCTTCTCCTTCTCCAGATCTGCATTTTAGAATTTCTGAAATAGTGAAACTAAAAAAATAAATAAATAAATGAAAGAAAAAAAAAGTTTCTCCAAGGTCACTTTGAAAGAAGCAGTGTATATGAATTTCCCCACTTAGGGCCATAGGGCCGTGGTAAGGTAGAGAGCTACCAGCCTTGTTGACGAAGTATTATTGGGACAGCAGAAAACCAGACACTGAAAGGATTATCCCCAGAAAAATCAAAGAGGACTTCAATTTATAAATCTGAATCCTTTGGCCCTGGGAAGGGAAACAGCCCAGCCTGGAAAGGGGCCCAGCAGAAGGACAGACAATGGAGAAGGTGGCCAGGGCCCAGGGCCAGGCCTTTTTATTCTATTAGCCCGTGGCTTCCCTACAACCTCTGAATATAGAGCATTCATCTTGCAGAAACGCTGGGCTTCTTAACAGGGGATAAATGAAGTCAGTCTTTGGCTACATTTTCTCTATGAACGAAGAGACTTTAAAATAATTGGTGTTGGTGTCCTAAAGGACCAGTTGACTAATCAACAATAGTTCCTAAACAAAACCAAAGTCTGGTCAGGGCAGAGAGGGGGTAAAAAGTGTTACTTCCTGAAAACATATTATAGTTTCAAAGGACAAATTTTTTCAATCTTACCAAATATATATAATATATATATATGAGAGAAGTAACAATTTACAGACGATATAGGATACAGGGTTCTGAGATGGCAGGAATGTTTCCTGGCGGGAGTCTGGGAAGACTTAGGAAAGGCATAATTTGAGCCTGGCCTTGCTGGCTAGGGAAGATCTAGATTCTCGATTCCATTCATGTGATGAAGCACCTACTGGGTGCCAGGCACCGTGCTAAAAACCGGGAACACAAAGATGAGCATGGTTTGGACTCCGTCCTCAAGGAAGGGCTCACAGTCTATGAGGGCAGCAGGTGTGTGAACAGAGGACAGAGCTAAGCCCTGGAAAAATGTGTGATGTTTGGGTGGCTGGGGAAGGAAGCTGGGGGCATGGAGAGAAAGTGTGTAAATGTGTGTGTGTGTGTGTGTGGCATCTGGGGTGTGGAGAGAGAGAAAGAAGGTAGTTCTGGGGGGGCTCCATTGAGGATGGAACATTCGAGCTGAGTCTTGAAACTTCAGTATAGTCTGTGGACTCAGAGGAATGACATTCTAGATAGGGGGACAGTGAGTGGGAAGGCATGGACAGAGACCACCAGGGTAATAATTTAGAGAAATTCAGTGTAATTCTGTTCTGTGTAACTGGAACAAAGGATGTATGTGGGGTGTGATAGCAGCTGAGTCTGGGAAAAGGGGGCAATTGAAAGATCCTGAAGTCCTTCCGTGCCAAATTGTATGCAATTTTATCATGTGGGGGATCTGGAGCCATCCACAAGTTTTAAGTAGGAAAGAAATGGGCTCATGCTTACGTTTAGAAAGATCTGAGAGAATGGAGTCTTGGAGCTCAGAGAAGCCAGAGGAAGGGGACCGGAGTTGGGGGTTGGTGGGTGGGATGGGGGACACTGAGGTTTATAAGCATGCTCACAGCTGGGCAGGGTGCAAGATGGGTTCAAGGCAAGAGAACTATTTGGGTTGAGGGAGACCTTTAGGGGGCAATGCCCCATGAAAACTATTTATTTTAACGGATACTTTTCCATTGTTCCGCTTCTTCCCCCAGGAACACCTTTCATTTTGGAATTGTTAAAATAGCTGTCATTTCTGTAGCCTGCTGGAGTTCGGGGGAATGATTTCCTTTTTGTCTCAGTTGAAATGGATTCTGCTTCACAGGAATCATCAGAGTTGACCTCAACTTTTTGTCTTCCGAGGGCTGCTTCAGTGTGGGCTGCCCTTGTTCCGGGGCTGAGGGAAGCTCTGTGATTGTCACAATGCTGTGAGGTTGCTAGAAACACGCGCTGAAATCAGTTGGCACAATTGTGTGTGTTTAAAAAAAATAAATTTCCCAGAGACAGTCCCCAAATTCTGTACAAGGAGACCCTTTGCTCCCCTGTATGAACAGTTGGTCCTGAGTTACTTGGAACACCCCCCAGACAGAGATTTTCTGTCTCTGTAGCTCTGTCCTCACAGGAAAAGCTGGGCTGTACAAAAAGTGACTTTTGTTCTAATGCCAAATCCCTGGGAGACTGGTGTTTGCAAAGTTGACATCCTTTTGACTTTTTACATGATTTCTCTAACTCTTAACATTTCATACACGAGAGCAAAATAGAACGTGACCCCGGTTTCCTCCACGGTGGGTCCGCCAGGCTGGCCTTGGAACTGCGGCTTTGCCATGAGCACAAGCCAGTCAGGAGACTAGAGCAGAGGGCAAGTAAGGTCGAGGTCATGGTTGAAATTCCTGTAGAGGCCAATAGGCTGAGCACAGCCTG